CTGCGGGGACAAGATGGGCGGTGATCTATATTCATTCATCCCTCTTTGTCATATATTACGATGTCTTCTAAGATTAATCCAGTGTTATCTACATGATATATTAATTGCACCACATATGGCAACATCGTTCATCCTACTACAGGAGGTGCCAGCTCGTAAACATCAAGTGTCGCAAGTCTGTTGACCACCTTCCAGAATAAACCAAGATTCCACTTGGTTGCTGTTTATCAAGAACCTACCACTGCTACAGTCACACACAATACAGGCGGTTAGTGGCCAGGGCGGCAGAGGAAGTGGGTGACTAGTGGGCGACTAGTGGGTGGCTATTAGGGTGATAAATTCCTTAGATTCATACGCGCGGCGGATAAACGTGTGCTTTTATACTTGTACTTTATACGTCGCGCGTTGATGGACACTTACGTGGGTTATATCCTGGGTCATTCATTTTGTAGGTAAGGATAGGTATCCCGGGGATCCTTGTGTTATGGGTCGTGGTTACCTCGATTGGATGTCTGCCTGACCTTCGGCGCACACACACATTCACTCACACTCACACTCGCACACACACACACACACTCACTCACTTACTCAACTCACTCACACTCACTCACTCACACACATTCACTCTCTCTCCTCTCTCTCTCTCTCTCTCTCTCTCCTCTCTCTCTCTCTCTCTCTCTCTCTCTCTCTCTCTCTCTCTCTCTCTCTCTCTCTCTCTCTCTCTCTCACACACACACACACACACAACACACACACACACACACACACACACACACACACACACACACACACACACAACACACACACACACACACACACACCACACACCACACACACACACTCACACCCTCACAAACGCAAATATATACAAGTCAACCAAACCAAAAGAAGGTGAACAGAGCTTCAAGACTGCCTCCTTCTTATCGAAATTACTCCCGCACAGAAAAGAAAATATCCTGAACTTAAACTCATCGCAAAGTTAAACCTGAAAATTTTATAACACGTCCTCCCCCGCCAACGTCAATGGACTCGCCGGACGTTGCCCCCTAGAGCGTGTCACTTGTCCAACGTCGCATCAATAATCGGGAACACAGATTATCGCAAATGACATATACGTCACGTGGCACTGTATTTGCATAATGTAATTGAGGTAACTTTTTACTGGGCGAATTATTACGCTGTGGTTTTTATGATAAGGATGAAGTGTGCTATGCTATTTTTTTTTTTTTTTTTTTTTTCAGGTATGTATGTTTGGACAGAAAAAGAGAAAGAGAGAGAGAGAGAAAAGAAAGACGAAACGAGAGAGAAAAATAAGAGAAAATAGACAAGAACAAACCTTAATTTTCCAGAAAATCACACCAAAAATAGATAAAAGATAAATCGACAAACAACAATACCCTAAATAAATCAATAAAAAAAAAATTACGTCACATCCAAAAACTCTCAGCCCCCACCTACCCACCCCTCAGCCCCCACCCTACCCTCATCCCCTCAGCCCCCCCCCCCCCCCCCCTCAGCCCTACCCCATCCCTCCTCACCCCCAACCCCCCTCAGCCCCCCACCCACCCTACCCAGCCCCTCAACCTCCCACCCCACCCATACCCCCCCCCAGCCCCCCCCTCCCCCCTCAGCCCCCCACCCCTACCATCCCTCAGCCCCCCACCCATACCCCCACCCCTCAGCCCATCCCCACCCCCACCCTCTCAGCCCCCCCTTACCCACCCCTTCAACCCCTCCACCCGACCCCCCACTATCGCCGAGTCATCAGAGAGCCCCCACCCCCACCCACCCCGACGCCAGTGCCACCCTCGACGCTTTCTTTGGCACTGAGGGCAAAGACGGAGATAAGGCACGCCCACGCCGACCTCTGCCCTCACTTGTCAGCTTAACACGGGCTTATGTTAAGTCTTGAATGATGAGGTTATATATGTATGTCAATATCATTGTTATCCTTACTATTAATAACAGTTTTATTTTAATATCATCATCGTTTTTCTTATTGCGATTATGATTATCATTTCCATTATTATCATTCTTATCATCACTACTGGTTGAAGTAGTAGTGATATTCATATTTTTATTATAATTAATATTATTACTATCATCATTACCAGTATTATCATCATCTTCATCATTATCATTAGTATTGTTACTATTATCGTTATTTTTATCATCTTTATTATCATTATCATTATTGTTATAAATGTCATCATTGTTATTATTATTGTTTTTATTATTATTGTTATTATATCATTATTATTATTCATTATTATTATATTATTATTATTATTTATTATATTATTATATTATTATTATTATTATTATTATCATTATTATTTATTATTATTCATTATTATTATTATTATTATTATTATTATTATTATTATTATTATTATCACTATTATCATTATCATTATTATCATTTTCATCATTATCATTATTGTCATTATTACCATTATCATTATTGTCATTATTACCATTATCATTATCATTACCATTATCATTATTATTATTATTGTCATTATCATCAATATCATTATTATTATCATTATTCACTATCATTATTATCACTATCTTTACTATTTCCATTATTATTACAACTATCATTATTATCATCGTTATTATTATCCTTATTGTTAATATTATTATCATTATCACTGGTAGTAGTAGTAGTTGTTGTTGTTGTATCATTATCATTATCATTATCATTATTATCATTGTCATTATCATTATCATTATTATTAGTATTGATGATATCATCATTAGTATTGTTATCATTGTCATTATTATCATTATCATTATTATAATTATAATCATAATGATCATTGTCATTCTCACTCTCATTATCATTATCATTATTATTATCATTAATATCATTATTGTTGATATCATTATCAGTAGTAGTAGTGGTAGTAGTAGTAATAATAATAATAATAATAGAAACATTATTATCATTACTACTACTGTATTATGATAATCATTTTCGTCATCGTTGCTATCATCATTGTTATTATCATCAATCAGCATTATCATAATCGCCTTCATCACCAAGATTATTTTTATATAGAAAAAAACTAAGGAAATATTCCAAGCAATTTCGTGTCAGTAATGCGAGTAAGTGAAGGAAGAAATTGATTTTTTTTTTTGTTGTTGTCTACACTGCACGGTAGTGAAAGACAATATAGAAAGAAAACAAGAAAGAAAAAACAAACAAAAAGAAAGAAATTCAAACAATAATAGTTTGATGTTAAAAGAAAAAAAATGTGGGTTTTAAGACTATGCGGGGAAGTATTGTGTATAATTTTAGATATGTATTCATCCGAGAACAGAAAGTCATTGTGAGTTGTAGCAATAAATACGAGAATATGTTCTTAAAAACTAACGAATCAATACAGAGAGAGGGAGAGAGACAGAGAGAGAGAGAGAGAGAGAGAGAGAGAGAGAGAGAGAGAGAGAGAGAGAGAGAGAGAGAGAGAGAGAGAGAGAGAGAGAGGAGAGAGAGAGGAGAGAGAGAGAGAGAGAGAGAGAGAGAGAGAGAGAGAGAGAGAGAGAGAGAGAGAGAGAGAGAGAGAGAGAGAGAGAGAGAGAGAGAGAGAGAGAGAGAAGAGAGTAGAGAGAGAGAGAGAGAGAGAGAGAGGGAGGGAGGGCTAGAGAGAATGCACACACACACGTTACACCTTTCTATCAGCCTTTATCTCTCCATCCATTAACCATCCATTTCCATTATCACTTTTACTCTGTCGACAAAACTCCGCCCATTACCTTCCTTCGCTCGTACACTCGTTTAGATAAGGAAATCACGAACGAAAGTCAAGAACTTAAGGTTTCGAACGAGTCGTTAAAAGAATGTTCGGATCGTTTCCCGACATCGAGGTTGACTTCAAGGCTGGCAGACAAGAGCATATGAGGAGAAGAAAATGAGGATCATCATCATTATTATATTCATCTTCATCTTCGTCATCTTTATCATCATAATTATCAACTATCATTATCATAACTATCATCATCATAATCATAATCACAATCATCATCATCATCATCATCATCAAATAATCATAATCACAATTATCACCATCATCATAATCATAATTATCATTATGATCATCGTCATTACCATCACTAGCATAAAAACGGAGACGGTGATGATGATTACAAATTACATCTTGACAGTTGCAATGATTATGATAATGAAGATGAGAAAAAGATGAGAAAGCAATGATAGTGATGATGGTAACTGAAAAAGAAGAAGAAGAAGAAGAGGAGGAGGAGGAGGTAGAGGAGAAGAAGAAGAAGAAGAGGAGAGGAGGAGAAGAAGAGAAGAGAGGAGAGGAGAGAGGAAGAAGAAGAAGAAGAAGAAACACTAATAACAACTCCCATAACAGTAGTCAAAGAAATGCTAATTAAAACACTCATTAAAATAAACGATACGGATTAGCATCAAAATTGAAAGAGAGATAAAAAAAAATATAAGAGGAAGAAAGTTAAACCGTAAACACACACAAAAAAGAAAAAAGTAAAAGCACAGTGTTTTAAGGACTCTCGGGTGGGTTCGTACACCATGTTTGTAGGTTCTGAACTTTATCGTAAAAAAATTGAATCATTTGAAAGTTTGGACACAAAAATGAAAGGAAAATTTGCCTATAAGTGCGAAGGTTAGTTATAATACGCTTTATATTAAACCTTAAACGATTATGATTATATTTATCATGATCGCTATCGCTTATCTTAGTACGTCATATTATTATACAAAATATACGTCGACATGGATTCCTCGAATGAATTTTGATAGCAAATGCTACTGTAAAAAAAAAATAAAATAAAAAAGTAAAGCAAAAGCTATTTGAGGAATTTCAGGATAGCTCTCAAAGTTATTTTCAAATTGCTTGTCTGAAAGGGGTGAAAAAGGTCCATAGGCGAATGAAGAAAAAATAAATAAATGAATAAAAATAATAATAAATAAATAGATAAATAAATAAATAAATATATATATATATATATAT